CTCTTCCCTTGCTCCGTACCCCACCCAACCTCTGCCTTCCCTCCACCCAACTTCACCCTGCCGTCTTTCCCCTTCCTTTCGGCCTCCTTCCACCTCCTTCTCTTCCTCTTCACGCTTTTTCCCATGCTCGTCTCCCCCTTACCTCTTTCCTTCCTCCATACATCACTCAACCTCTAAACTACCTTCTGCTTTTTGTCCTCCCTCCCCCATACTTCTCCCTGCCGCCTCCCTTTCCTCCCGGCCTCCTCTGGACCTTCTCTTAAAACCTCCCTCTGCCCTCCCTTCGCCTGGCCACCTCACTCCCCTTCCTTGCCCAATCTTCGCCTGACCTCCTTCCCTCTATCTCCTCCGTCCTCCTCCTTCCTCCACCCGATTCACACTGACCTCCTCCTTCCCCCAATCTCCTTCCTCCACCCGATTCACTCTGCCCTTCCTTCCTTGGCCCGATCTCCACCTGACCTCCTGCTTCCGCCCTACTCTCTTCCGTCTTTCCCCTGCCTACTGGCCTCCTCCGCACCTTCTCTTCAACCTCCCTCTGGCCTCCGTCCGCCTGGCCGCCTCATTCCCCTTCGTTCGCCCCCTACGTTTGCCCGATCTCTGTCTGACCTCCTCCTTCCCCCGATCTCCTTCCTCTCCTTCCTTCCTCAGCCCGGTCACACCTGAACTCCTTCCATTCCTCCCTCCGTCCTACTCCCTACCTTCCCCTTCCTCCCTCGACAAGCCGCCCTTCCTTCGTAACGCCCGACCCAAGATCGATCCATTTCTTATAAGATCTCAACACGGTTGCACACACGCAAGAAGGAGAGAGGGAAAGCAGGAGAGAAAAAAAAAAAACACATTTCACCTAACACACTTCCTCCTCTCTCTCTTCCTTCCTCGCACCTTCTTTGCCTTTGTCTGTCTCCTCCACCACCAAATGTACGTCTTCTGCCTCCTCAACATTCTCCCTCGTTCTTTTCTTTTTGAAGCGGCCTTATGAATAACTGCCCTGCGCCAGCTATTTCAGGCTATCGATATTTCTTTCCATATTTCACTCTCTTCCTCCCCAATCCCACCACACTGAGTCAACTCTCTCTCTCTCTCTCTCTCTCTCTCTCTCTCTCTCTCTCTCTCTCTCTCTCT